ATATTGTAGAAAATTTAAAAAAATATTATTATCTGTATAATAGAAAAGTATTTTTACAGATCAGATTTTTTTTTTTTTAATAAAATAATTGAATTAAAAAAAGATAGAATGCTATTATGGTCTTTTTAAGTAAGAATTTTTGCTTACAAATAGGCTTATAAATAATAAGCACTTTAGTCGAATTAATTAATTAATTAATTATTAAAGATTATCTTGCGCAAATTTACAAATGATATAATTTCGTCATTTCTCAAGATGTATATCTCAATTTTACGAACCAGATTCGATAGTAACATTAACCTTAATAAGCGCACGTAAAAATATGTAAATAGTCATTAAGAACCAGTATTATCTCGGCCGAGGACTAATGTTGGTTTATAATAACTAGTTAGATATTCTTACGTGCGCTAAGTAAGGTTGAGGCTGCCAACGAATCTGGCTCGTAACCTGCGTCGATCATTGCTTCGAAAACGGAATATGCACCTTTAACATTGCCAACTTTTGCATAAGCTTTCATTAGTGCCGTAAAACTTATCAAATCAACTTGTATTCCTTGTGCACACATGAAATCGAATGCTTGTTGCGCATGTTTCACGTCTTTGTTGTTGGCAAACATATCCACCAAAGATGTGTAACTGACTTTATCTGGTATTATTCCTGCTTTTTTCATTTCTTCGAATTCTTTATGTGCTGCGCTAATATCTCCAGCTGCTGCATATCCATTTATCAACGAATTATAAACTTTGGTATTCTTTTGAAATCCTGAATTCAACATTCTCGTTATCACTCGCTGTGCTTTGTTCATATCTGGAAGCTTTGCGTATCCGTCGATCATAATGTCAAAGATATATTGGTTTGGACGAATGCCGTTCTCCTGCATCTTACGAAACAATTCTTCGGCTCCTTGCATGTGCCGATAATGAACGAATCCTTTCATCAAGATTGAATAAGTGACGACATCCAAAACAACGTATTTCGACATCATCTCTGTTAAAATTAATTCAACAGTCGATTTATCACAATTTTGTATTTGTTCTAATTTCTCGTGATGTTTATTAAAACAAAGTCTATTATGATTAAAATTTTTTTTAATCGCAAGATTTAATAATATGTTAAAAGTCCGATTTGAAGGGCGAAGATCATTTCCAAGCATCTCAACGTATTGTTCGATTGCTTTTTCAAAAATTTCAACATCGTCTTGTTCGCAGATATATTGCATAAGAATATTATAAGTGACTTGATCGGGAACCAAATGATGTTCGACCATTTGTTCAAATATTTTTCGTGAGGATGGCATACCATAAGTATGTAAATAACCTCTTAAAAGATTGTTAAAAACATTCACATTTGGTGAAATCCCCTGTTTTAACATTTCATCGTAACATTTCAACGCTTCCTTCAAATTTCGTTGATTTATGTGGCCTGTGATGAAGGTATTGAATGTCACAACGTTAGGTCGAAGACCTGAAGATAATATACGGTCATATACATCATACGCCATCCCTAAGTCATTCATTTTGACGTACATATTAATTAGTATATTATATGTCCTCAGAACATGCCAACCGTTAGCAATTATTTGATCAATTATTAATAACACTTTCTCTGTTTTTTCCATTCGTGCAAAAGCTGTAGCTAAAATATGATAAGTATCTAAACCAGGTTGTATTTTTAATTCGAGCATTTTATTATAAATATCTTCTACAGATTGGAAATCACCAACATCCAAATAGCCAGACATTATAGTATTAAATGTAATTATATTTGGAGCTATTCCCATATTAAGCATAATATCAAAACATTGTTCTGCACCTTTGAAATCATGACAATTTAAAAAACCATTAATCATTATGTTAAATGTGATAACATCTGGTTTTATACCTTGTCTTTCCATTTCTTTTAATATAAAATGAGCCCCAGTGACGTTTAAATTACGTACGTATGATAAAATATGTGTGTTGTAAGTTGTTAAATTAGGTGGAACTAAATTCATTTTCATATCTTGAACTAATTCCAAACATCTTCGAATATTTCCAACACGTGCGTACATATGAAGTAATATGTTATACGTTTTGCGTGTTGGAATAAGATTTTCTTTGATTATTTCAGTAAATATTAACTCTGTTTTTGCAATATCACCAGAGATGACATATAAATTTAATAATGTCTCATAAGTATATCGATTCAAACGTAATCCATTCTTCTTGATATCATCATATATTCGATTCAACCAATATAAAACTTCCTTGGGCTTCCAATATGGTGCAAATAAACAATGCAAAATAACATTGAAATCATTTTCAGTTAATAGGTGTAATGTGTTTTTAGGCGAAACTGTTTTACAAAAATGGCGAAAGACGAAACCTAAACTCCGAAAAGACGAAAAAGACGAAACCCTGACGAAGGACGAAACTCCTGGCGAAAGGCGAAACCTCTGGCGAAAGGCGAAACCTCTGGCGAAAGATGAAACCTTTGGTAAAAGAAAGCTCTGAACTTTAATAAAAGACGAAGCCATTCTATGTCGTGATGTGTGTATCGTGGTTATTAAAGCATTATTTTGTAGTGTTATAAGTTATTATTTTATTTAATTCTGCCCAATTCGTAGAATTAAAATAAAAAAAATTTCATTGAATTTGGTTAAACAGTTGAGATATTTTAAAAAATTTTTAATTCAAAAGGAGGTTAATAAATATAGATCATCCCGTGAAATTGCAAAAATATTATTGGTTAATCGAATTTTATCGATTAATATTAACTGTTAAATAGACAAAATATTATACGCGACACGTACAAAACTAAATAAAAATAATAGAAAATAAGAAAAGCCCTACTCAAACACTAATTAAACATGCTATATAAAAATATTTTAACCATAAAAACCAGGTTTACTGTATTTATGTTGATATAATTTTATAAATTAACTTCTCATAATAAAAGTTTGCTATCAATAATTTTATATCATTAGATTCATGAACCTAATGTTTTAAAGATCAAGATTTAAAATCGTCTACTGTTTTCTTTTGTTGTGAAGATTCCCATCAGAATGCTTGCGCCAAACTTTTGTTAGACACGAGCAGTGTTTGAAATTAGTGTTCTCAGAGTTCTCATGAAACCAAATTTGTGAGTGAGAACAGCTAAAAGCTGAAAATTTAAAATTTTTTATATTAGAGAACACCCAAATAGAAGGTGAGAACAGTAGCCCAGTCCCAGATTTTGAACACGAGCCCGAGTTGCAGAGCCCTGGTTTCATATATATGCTGGGAAAATAGAAATTATTGAAGGTCCTGAAGGACAGAAGAATTGAAATTTTGAGAAAAAAAAACGAAAAAGTTAAAAGACAAAAAAAAAAAAAAAAAAAAAAAGCTTTGAGTTAAAACTGATATAATAATTGTACAAAACATACCATTTGTAGTAAATACTACTGTGTGGCATAGCGTAATCCTTCTCAACACTTTTCGTTTTCATGTATTAAACTCTGAAATAACCATCCGTTAACCTTTGAAAGATTCATCATCAACATAAAGGATAATCTGATTTCAAATAAAGACCACGCTAAATACATAGGATATGTGTAATCTGTAGACTTTGTATAAAATCCGAATTTATTGAATTTCTAAACGAAAGAAATTTAGTCCAAGAACTAGAAAGATTAGGCATTAGATTTGAACAAGCGCGATTATGAATGACACCATAAAGTTTTGTTATCATTATCAGTTATCCTGCTTAAGATTCGCAAATTTCACACAGTTTTTTTTTTTTAGATTTTTATAATAAAACTATAACAAGAGTGTACATGAGCAAAAGATGTTCGTCATCATAGGGAAGTCATAGCCAGTCCTCCTCGAGAGTCAGCAGACCTTATTCAAAAAATCTCACAGGGGTTTAAATTACACACTTCCGTCTTTATTTGTTACTTTTTTCTTCTTTAAGACGGGGTGAAATTTACTGTTCCCGTGCCCTATTGGCCCGTTAACAATTTCACACAACCTCTTAGTTAGAAAGAAAGAACGTTCACAGTAGGTCGTCCACTGTACGTCAAGTCTAATTTCTTGACTAGTAACTTTCGCAAACTGTGATCACGACGCGCTTCCAGTTCCTTTCTAACTATCTTAAAAACCTCAAAGTAATATACAACAATACTAAAATATTAACCTGATTTTGAAAAATAAGTTTACCCAAAACACTAATTTAATACGCGTATATACTAAAGAAAATGAAGGTCTGAAGGTTTTTTATTCTAATTAACCAATAAAAATCGAGAAAAATGATCTAATTATAAACAATCAATCAAAATTTAGTATTTGTTAACACATTGTCTTTCGGACAATAAACCCTTTAACCAAACTTGACTATTGACTGATTATATAGAAATAATTATAACAGATAATGATCACATTTCCATATTACTATCACCAGATTAGTGTGTGCCCAACTGAAAATCTGCGGTACGTAGCATAATCTGCGCATAAAGTTAATATTTGTCGCATAGCATATGTGATCGCATAATTTGGTGTTAAGAGCAGAAAATATGCGAAATTGTAAAAGCAAAGAACCCGGGAAGTTCCAAGGTAGATGGTCACTGAACCGTCAAAGACGAGCATGACTATGTTGTTTATTTCGAAATTTTTTATCATAAATACAGTATATAAATAAAATTACGTTTTAGTTTCTTTTACATAATTACCTAAAAAAAAAAAAACAATGAAAATGAGAATTATATGATTTATAATACTTAAATTCATTTGATCACGAAATTAAGTTTAAACCCACTCACCAGGAAATTCGCCTATAATGCCATTTTGTAATCTACCCACCCACCAATCATTAGGTCCATCTCCTTTCTCGAGTACTTCAATCACATCTCCTGCCTTAAAACTCAAATCATTTGCTTCTTTTCCAACATAATCATACATTGCCACAACAGTTATTGCATTTCCAGCACTTTGTCTTCGATAAAATATAAAGCCAGAAACAGCTAGTACGCTAACAAACACGATGGAACCTATTACACTGCCTACTATTACACTTATATTGGACTGAGGTAATGGTGTATACGAAGATGTGGGTAAAAATGTAAGTGTAAGTGTGGTTGAAGATATTAGTGTGGATGAAGACGTAAGTGTGGATGAAGACGTAAGTGTGGATGAAGACGTAAGCGTGGATGAAGACGTAAGTGTGGATGAAGACGTAAGTGTGGATGAAGACATAAGTGTGGATGAAGATGTAAGTGTGGATGAAGTTCGACGATTAGCTCCTAATACTTTTTTTTTTAAATCTAATATAACCAATGTGTATAAAAAGAGCACCATGAACTTATAAAACGTCGAAGAAGAAAGAATTTTCATGTTTATTATAATAATATAAAAATTTAAATTTAATTAAATAAGACATTAAATATATGATAAATTGCATCTCCTTAATACCAAAAATAGGTCTACAGTATAAATTAACAATCTGGTTTTCACCAATTACCAGATATGTTTATGCATAACGATAATACTGTAGGTCAATCAAATTATGAATTTTAGGGATGTTAAGTAGTCCCAGTCTAAACAGAGTTCAGACTTGAACTTTAACTTAGTTTATTTAATCATTTACTGAACTTTAACTAGTTCAATTTTATTTTTATTGAACTTTAACTAAATTAGACGAACTACTTAACATCACTAACGAATTTCATTGCTACGTATATTCAGATTATATAACATCTAGTTTTTTCTTAGCTATTTGTTTATTTAGTATGTATGTTTGCTTTTGTACTGTATTAGGAAAACTATTGTATACAGCAGATAGTTGATAACTATATATAAGTTATATATAGTTAACCTTATCTATTTGTTCTTTACAATTACTGATTGCTAATCTAGTAGAAATTTTTTTTATAGTACGTATAAAAAAAAAACTAAATCGTGAGAATTAAGAATTTTTATTGGGACCTGACTTAGCATACCTATAGTGTTGTTACGATGCATTACTATTTGTCGAGTGTTTTTTATGTGTGTGTCTGGCACAGATACCTAGTGGACATTATTGTTGAATATGATCCGATCTACTGAGTTCTGCCTGTCCAAAAGTATTTTGGTATGTCGAAATACTTTAATAAATCCATCATGCAGAAAGCCAAAATCAAAGTGAAAGTAGTGCTTCGATCCTATTTATGACAGACCATCCGGATTATATTAAATCCGGATTGAATCCGTCTCAGATTATATATTAAAGCTAACTTTTAAGCGATCCTTAGGTCCGTTATTTAAGTTCTTTGACCAATCTGGATTTAAGGATCAATCCAGTGAAAGTCGAAAGTATTATTGAATGTCATCAAAGTGCCACGAATGTTTGATGTTTCATTGGGTGTGCGATGCACTATGTGAATCAAAACTATAAGTGGTATCATATGAAAATTTATTAATAACGATAAAGATTTTTTGATTTTTGATGTTCTATAGAAGGGTTTGGGTCAAACAAATTGACTAACACTATGATAATCCTAACCCTAATGCGGGTTAAATCTGTCGGGATTAGTCAAACTAACATGTCTTAAATTAACATCAAAACAACTCGTTTTCGGGAAATCAAACTTACACGTCTTTTGATTCGAAAATCACGGGCGTATTGTTTTGATTATTGAGTTCTGGAGTTATAGCTAATTCAGAAATTTTGCTATGCTTCATTCCAGTTTCCTTTATGTCTTGCCTGGGCAATTACGATTCATAAGTCACAGGGTTTGACATTACCGCAGGCTGTAATAAATCTTGGAAATAAGGGTTGAGGGCACAGAGGCACGAGCATGCCAAAAACCAAAAGGCATGCCCTAGTCATATGACTATTATGTTGTATTTAATTGGCTAGTTATATAGAAAGAGTAGATTTGAATTAGGGATGTTGTATTGCTTAGCCAAACTAGTTCATCTCTATTTAGAACCTGAATTAGAGTTTTGTAGTTGTATTATTTTAATTGATATCGATATTTAAAACTCATTGTGACTATTTAATCATATTAAAATTGTCAATCTTTGATCAAAAAGCTTCGTGATTTTCATTAGTGACTCAAAATTTATGAAGTACAATATGATACATATATTAATATTTAAAAGATACGATATGAATATTTATTATTTACTTGAAAATTTTAACAAAAAGGATGGGGTTTAAGATGGGGAGATGAGTTTGACGTGATAATTATATATATTTTATTTTGAGGTATTACAGTAGTTGACATATATAATCGTATGGTTTTTTTTACTTACGCAAATACCAAAAGAATATTAAAGTTATAAATAGAACTCTTTTAAATGTTCTTACGATTATAAAGTTGCTATTATAGCTTGAGTAAATAGTCTATTTAAAGTTAGAAATTATATGTGAATTGTGTCTTCTAATTGGCTGAGTTGTTAAACGAGAATCTACTTATACCGCCCTTGTTGGCATGCCTAATTTTTAACCCGTGCCCTCTACTTTACATTGATCTGGTTGCCGAATAAATTGAGAGATTTTAATTTATCTTTATTAGATATTGCTAGTAATGTAAACAATATTTATATTACACGGACTAGAGTCTGGAACCGGTTTTATTTTTAAATGTTAAAACCGATTTGAAATCTGACCTATTCATTTAGCAAGCTTTATATTATATACCTATAAATTATATTATTAACATATTACATTGATTATTAGTACAACACCACTACTTTTGCGAATATAAATGCTATATAAGAATAAGATAATATGAAAATATATTATAATAAATAATCTGAATAGTGATTTCTTAA